GAAATACCTTTTTATCTCATATTGAAATTATGGCTTTTATGTGGGTACAGGATTACTATAAAAAAGACATACTTATAGACACATACTAGATTTGAGAAAAAACAAAGTCATTATATAACAAAGCAAAAAGGTTTCGGATCTAAAGCTGGAGAATTTAAGGCCAACAAAGGATGGCTTGATAATTTTAGATAGAGGTGGCTTAAAAAATGTCAAGATAACAGGAGAAGTAGCTTCTGCTGACCAAGAGGCAGCAGAGGAGTTCCTAGACAACATTAAGAAAATCATTGGAGAGAAAGGATATCTGCCTGAATAGGTTTTTAATGTGAACAAAAGTGCCATATTCTGGGGAAGAAAAATGACACAAAGGACATTTTTTAGTAAAGAAGAAAAGCAACTTCCAGGACTTAAGGCAGAAAAGGATAGGCTAACTCTACTGTGTTGTACAAATACAGTCAGGTTTATGATCAGGACTGTTCTTATCTATAAAGCCACTAACCTCTGATCCTTGAAGGGAAGAAATAAGCACCAACTGCCAGTCTTTTGGTTGTATGAGAAGGTCTGAACAATGAAAACCCTTTTTCTGGATTGGTTCTATCAATGCTTTGTCCCTGAAGTCAGGAAATACCTTGCCAGTAGGGACTACCTTTTAAATTCTTTTGATATTGAGCAATGCCCTTGGCCACCCAAAACCCCATGAGTTCAACGCCAAAGGCATGGAAACTTCCCCCCAAACACAACATCCCTAATTCAGCTTCTAGATCAGGGAATCCTAAAGACTTTTTAAGGCTGATTACACATGGTACTCTGTGGAAAGGATTGTCAGTGCAATGGAAGAGAACCTCAATAGAAGATCGTGAAAGTCTGGAAGGATTTCATCATTGAAGATGCCATCATTGTTACAGAAAAAGCTGTAAAATCCATCAAGCCTGAAAATAAATTCCTGCTGGAGAAAACTGTGTCAAATGTTCTGTGTGATTTCACAGGATTTACCTCAGAGCCATTTAAGAAAATCATGAAAAGGATTGTAGGTAGAGCAAAAAAGGTGAGGAGGTGAAGGGTTTTAAGATATCAATCTTGTAGAAATTTAAGAGTTAATAAACGCTGTACCAGAAATCAACAGAATAAAACTTGATGGAGATGAGTGCTTCCAAACCAATGCCAGACAGTGAGGAAGATGTAGAAGAAGCAGCACCAGAAAACAAATTGACATTAGACAATCTGGCAGAAGAGTTCCAATTATTCAAGACTACTTTGACCTTCATTTGCAACATGGACCCTTCTATGGTATGTGAATGGACCAGACACTCAATTTGCAAGGAAAAGATCAACTGAATAAAAAAATCAGGAAACAAATACATGCTACCTATAAGAAAGGCACTTTAAATCTGAAGACCCAAACAAATTAGAACTAAAACTGTAGAAGAAATATACTAAGCAAACAATAAACATAAGGAAACTGAAATAACTGTATTGCTGTCATACAGAGAGTATTGAAGGGAACATGTCATAAGGACAAAGGGTCACTTCATGAAGATGTAACAAACATGAATGTATTTGCATCTAATAAATGAGCCCCAAAATTCAGAAAAGAGAAAGGGCTGTGGCATATCTTATTGCTTATAGTCACTGATTAAATTTTAGCCTCAGCTGCATTTTATTCACCTTACACTGTCACATTTCAAGTGTTCTAGTTTTCCCTGTTACACTTATAAGTAACTGTCATTTATGATAATTTTTTCTTGTGTAAATTACATCCTGATTAAAAAAACTAATAATTTAAAAAGGCAAGCTTGTAGGATTAGGGAGACTCCCACCTAGCTCTTCAAAAAATGTAAATGAATTTTACGTAGAGTTTTACAGTTTATGTGTTACTTGTGTATCTTGATATAGTACAAGTTTATTTTATAATTTCATATGCTAATTAAATGAAAAATAGTAAAGAATTATCATCTAATTATGTCGTCAAAATTTATAATCTCTCAAGTTTCTTCTGTTCCTGGGTTCTGCATCAGTAAGCTATTTTATTTGTATCTGTTTTCTACTCTGCCTTACTTTCTTTCTTAGATCCAAGTATATAAAAACGAGACACAGGGTATCACCAGCTCTGGCTTTGCATCATTGACATTTGAGGGAACTTTGGGAGCTCCTGTCATACCTCGTACGTCAAGCAAGTATTTTAACTTTACTACTGAGGACCAAAAAATGGTAGAAGCCTTACGTGTTTGGGCATCTACTCATATTTCACCTTCTTGGACATTACTAAAATTGTGTGATGTTCAGCCAATGCAGTATTTTGACCTGACTTGTCAGCTCTTGGGCAAAGCAGAAGTGGATGGAACATCATTTCTTCTAAAGGTATGTGTTTTTAAATACTTGAAATTATTAATTAGCACCACCTGCATGTCTATGAAGAGTTTCTGTTTCATTCTGATGGAATAAATATGCATACCATATATTATACTAAGAATTTACTGTTTTTGATGAGCCTCAATATTCTTGCCGCTCTACTCTTGTACTTCTCTTTTTTATACTTTTCTTCCAGAGAAAAGTGTTATCAGGTCTATATTTTAAATATTATAAGACTTATGCTATATTTGTTTATCTATTTCTTAGTAGTAATAAATTACAGACTTATTTTATATCGTTATTTTTTAGTTACAGTCCTATATGTGACTATTTCTGCTTGCCTGTCAAGATCACCTTTCCTCTCACGCATTTACTTTCTTGACCCATTGAGGTTGAGTTCTCTTCCCATCTCTTTCACTGCTTGTTTCATGAGTAGGTCATGGACAGTTTAAGGCATTTATTGTTATTATGTTTTGGTTTTAAATCAGTAGGATAAAAATGGTAACATAAGACCCATTTAATCTTGGTTTACACCTATCCCAGTTTATTTCATGAATAATTTCTGAAGAAGTCAGATGTCTGATATTTTCCTTGCCTGGACATCCTATGGAAGATACATTTGAACAAACACTGCTTCAGGACCTGTTCCTGTGACTATTTCTCTGTCCTCTGTTTGGAATAATAGGGCATAAAATGGAATGCAGTGGAACTTGGACAGGTCTTGGGGTTTGGCATTATCATCATATACACCTTACCTATATTAAAGAACAATGAAGATAGGAATTATTTAATAAAATATAAAAGTTTTTGAAGTTGAAAATAGCACATTTATATACACACAAAATACTATAAAAAAGTAAATTCATGCTATAAATAAAATTAAATAAGTCAAGTATGACAAAGCTGAAGCTAACACAACATAAAGTCATCCAAACAAAGTTAGAAACAATCTTAGGTCAACCAGTCATGCTCTCTTGCCAAAGTGATGTTCTTGACAAATGAACATTTGCTAACCACTGAATACTTCCAATGACAAGGAATCTACTACTATGCAGAGAGGTATACTTCATCTTTTGACTACTGTGTTGTTAGAAAATTCTTAAATTCTGAGATAAATATGCCGTTTCTTTAGCTGATATAGTTGATTCTACATTTTCTCTGTGAAGAAGCACAACATATGCCTGCATCCCATTTTAATAGATAGCCTTTTTGAATAAGTGAAAACAACTCCCATGTAACTGTTATCTTAAGTGGTTTGCATTAAAAGCATAATTGAATAAATCTGTAGATCTAACATTGTTTCACATTTTTCTCTATTCTGTTTATACAAATTATGTTTCTGAACAATACTCTTATATTGAATTTTCTTTATATATTCTGTTTTTTTAATATTCACAGTGTTGGTGCAGCCTCATCGTTGAGTGTTTTACTTGTTTTGTTTTATGCTTTTGCTTTTTTTGTAAATAGTCCAAAGTCACTGATAGCCAGAGCTGGTGGATAGTTTGTATGTCTAATCTGAAATATGGTTTGGTGAACAAAAAAATGGAATGTGAACCAGAAAATCATCATATTAAAGGGTCTATTCAAATTTGCAGCATTTACTGTATGGAAAACACCAGAGCATGCTTTATATACAAGCATGAGACTAAATCTCATAGAAATAATTTAATTAATGTCGAAGAAATAAATTACTATTATAATTTTAAAGCATTTTCATAATTTTACTGCATCTATTTACATACAAAAATATTTTAATACATATGAGATTTTGTCAAGACCATTTTTGCAACCAAAATAATGCTTTTTATATGCTTTTTATCATATAAAGCACTTGACAAGAATTAGAAATTGATTTAAATCTTTTGTAAAACAACTGACTGGATTCCTATCGTTTTTATTGTGATGTATTATGGAATAAAATATTGGACAAAAATTTGAAAATTTTATTGAAAATTATATATTTCTTTAAAACTCAAATGTAACAGAATTCACTATGTGGATAATTGTAATTCAGAGACAAGAAAGAGATTGCATGAACTGTAAGATAGCAGGGTTTTTTTTTAAAGAAATGGGTTCTCGCTTTGCTGTCCAGGCTGATCTAGAACTCCTTCCTGATTCAAGAGATCCTCCTGCCTCAGCCTCCCAAGTAACTGGGACTACAGGCATGTTTCTTCATGCCTGGCTAACAATTTTACTATAGCAAAATCACTACAAATATTTGTTCTCCAGAAAAAGATTTCATGGAATACATTCTTTTGACTGCAATCAATAAAAACAGAAATTCAAACATTTGCCACAAAGCAAAACCAAATACATGTTAAAAAAAAAAAGAAAAAAAACTTCCCCAAACACTTTTGTTTCAAAGAGAAATTAATTGTAATTATTGTAAATGAATTTTACGTAGAGTTTTACAGTTTATGTGTTACTTGTGTATCTTGATATAGTACAAGTTTATTTTATAATTTCATATGCTAATTAAATGAAAAATAGTAAAGAATTATCATCTAATTATGTCGTCAAAATTTATAATCTCTCAAGTTTCTTCTGTTCCTGGGTTCTGCATCAGTAAGCTATTTTATTTGTATCTGTTTTCTACTCTGCCTTACTTTCTTTCTTAGATCCAAGTATATAAAAACGAGACACAGGGTATCACCAGCTCTGGCTTTGCATCATTGACATTTGAGGGAACTTTGGGAGCTCCTGTCATACCTCGTACGTCAAGCAAGTATTTTAACTTTACTACTGAGGACCAAAAAATGGTAGAAGCCTTACGTGTTTGGGCATCTACTCATATTTCACCTTCTTGGACATTACTAAAATTGTGTGATGTTCAGCCAATGCAGTATTTTGACCTGACTTGTCAGCTCTTGGGCAAAGCAGAAGTGGATGGAACATCATTTCTTCTAAAGGTATGTGTTTTTAAATACTTGAAATTATTAATTAGCACCACCTGCATGTCTATGAAGAGTTTCTGTTTCATTCTGATGGAATAAATATGCATACCATATATTATACTAAGAATTTACTGTTTTTGATGAGCCTCAATATTCTTGCCGCTCTACTCTTGTACTTCTCTTTTTTATACTTTTCTTCCAGAGAAAAGTGTTATCAGGTCTATATTTTAAATATTATAAGACTTATGCTATATTTGTTTATCTATTTCTTAGTAGTAATAAATTACAGACTTATTTTATATCGTTATTTTTTAGTTACAGTCCTATATGTGACTATTTCTGCTTGCCTGTCAAGATCACCTTTCCTCTCACGCATTTACTTTCTTGACCCATTGAGGTTGAGTTCTCTTCCCATCTCTTTCACTGCTTGTTTCATGAGTAGGTCATGGACAGTTTAAGGCATTTATTGTTATTATGTTTTGGTTTTAAATCAGTAGGATAAAAATGGTAACATAAGACCCATTTAATCTTGGTTTACACCTATCCCAGTTTATTTCATGAATAATTTCTGAAGAAGTCAGATGTCTGATATTTTCCTTGCCTGGACATCCTATGGAAGATACATTTGAACAAACACTGCTTCAGGACCTGTTCCTGTGACTATTTCTCTGTCCTCTGTTTGGAATAATAGGGCATAAAATGGAATGCAGTGGAACTTGGACAGGTCTTGGGGTTTGGCATTATCATCATATACACCTTACCTATATTAAAGAACAATGAAGATAGGAATTATTTAATAAAATATAAAAGTTTTTGAAGTTGAAAATAGCACATTTATATACACACAAAATACTATAAAAAAGTAAATTCATGCTATAAATAAAATTAAATAAGTCAAGTATGACAAAGCTGAAGCTAACACAACATAAAGTCATCCAAACAAAGTTAGAAACAATCTTAGGTCAACCAGTCATGCTCTCTTGCCAAAGTGATGTTCTTGACAAATGAACATTTGCTAACCACTGAATACTTCCAATGACAAGGAATCTACTACTATGCAGAGAGGTATACTTCATCTTTTGACTACTGTGTTGTTAGAAAATTCTTAAATTCTGAGATAAATATGCCGTTTCTTTAGCTGATATAGTTGATTCTACATTTTCTCTGTGAAGAAGCACAACATATGCCTGCATCCCATTTTAATAGATAGCCTTTTTGAATAAGTGAAAACAACTCCCATGTAACTGTTATCTTAAGTGGTTTGCATTAAAAGCATAATTGAATAAATCTGTAGATCTAACATTGTTTCACATTTTTCTCTATTCTGTTTATACAAATTATGTTTCTGAACAATACTCTTATATTGAATTTTCTTTATATATTCTGTTTTTTTAATATTCACAGTGTTGGTGCAGCCTCATCGTTGAGTGTTTTACTTGTTTTGTTTTATGCTTTTGCTTTTTTTGTAAATAGTCCAAAGTCACTGATAGCCAGAGCTGGTGGATAGTTTGTATGTCTAATCTGAAATATGGTTTGGTGAACAAAAAAATGGAATGTGAACCAGAAAATCATCATATTAAAGGGTCTATTCAAATTTGCAGCATTTACTGTATGGAAAACACCAGAGCATGCTTTATATACAAGCATGAGACTAAATCTCATAGAAATAATTTAATTAATGTCGAAGAA